GGAGGTCAGGTCAAGGTCAGGTCAAAAAAGGTCAAATTTCAAAGTTGATATTTATGCATAAAATGGGTATCGATTCGATGCAGCTCGTCACGGGGAGTCTAATGGTGGTCTTTGTTTTGCGCTACGAGGTCTAGAATTGCTAAAAATTGAGTTTGAAAATTTGACGTCATCAATTTTGAACAGTTTTTTCGCTATAACTTCGCCAAAAAAGAGGTATCGATCTCAAATTTGGTATGTAGATAGAATGCGGTAAGGGCTATCACATATATTCCGGTTTTTTCGAAATTCAAAAAACTTTTTGGATTTTTTGGCTATTATATTCAAAAAATCTATTTTTTGATTTTTGGGGGTCAAAATCCAAAAAATTCGAAAAACCGAAATAGCAGTTTTGTAGCCCTTTTAATTTTACACCTTTTATGTCTGAAACATTTTTCTGTATCTCTAAAGCTGTAGGCCTGACAGCTCTTCCCGCGAAACCTTTTTTTGGGTCGAAAATGGCAAAAATGACGTCACTCTGACGTCATTAGCGGCCAACCTATCATAGCCTTTGGAAAAATTTTTGGTCGCCATGTGCGCTAGCTGCTCCCGGGAGGGTACTGAAAGTTTGGTGACGATCGGCGCAGCGGTTCTCGAGATATATCGAAAAAACTAAAGGGGGGGGGGGCAAAAAATTGCCCCCCCCCACCGCCTGGAAGGTTAAGTAGCTTTGTGTTCTGCGTATAACATTAGGCGGGCCCGGCTCGCCTAATCCCATTCACTAGGTACTTCCCGAGTCATTTTTCTAAGTTACTTCCCTGACCAATATTTGCGACACCTTGCAAGGAATCGGTAATATCGGTAATATTTTTGCCGTTGTTCTTATACGTATTTTATATTATTTCTTCATGATGGTCTCACATTTCAGGGCTAAGGTGAATGTGCCCTGTTCAGCACCGTAGTCTTTCCTGCACCCCAATCTATTGGTCTGAGAAACTCCCATGGTAGTGGCATTCTGTCCAGCCAGCTCAGGGTCAGCCCCGCTCTCTCGCCGAGATGGGCCGATAGGCACGGACATGGGGGAGTGATCGACTCACACGGCGATTAGGTACTGATCGGTAGGCAGACAGACATGAGAATATTCCTGGGGGAAGACGCCGCGCTATGAGAGCATCCGCAGTCCGCCTGCTCATTAGCGGTGCTTCTGCATTTGACATTTATATGTCGGATTTAGATATCTGAGATACTCTACTCGGACTAACGGTAACACTGGGCGCCGGGAGGGGGATGTCGACGGCGTATTTTTTTCTATATGATGGTTAATATGAGTTATCATGCGTCATTACGTGGAAGGCTGCGAGTTTTTAGTCACTTGTGATGCAATACAGAAGTCTGAAGGTATCTGAGAGCTGGGATGGTAATGGCTTTGATAGCGATAAATGGCCGCTTTTTCTGCGCGTGTGATTGGGCGGGTCGTCTGCCGGGGGCGGCGGCCGCCCTCTGAGGACCACCCATCTGCCGCTCGGTGGCCGCTGGGGCTGCCTCCCGGTCACCGGGGCCCGGTCCCGGTCATTACGGGTCAGTTAATCACCCCCGGGCGGCCCGCCGAGCCCCGACCGAACGGTGGCATCCCGGGACGGCCCGCCGTGGAAAGCACGGCGCACTAGGGGACGGACAGGTGCTGCTGCCACCTGCTGACGGGATGAGGGAACTTAGATCTGCGCTACGGACGGCAGGGGACGCACTTGTACAGTGGGCGGCGCTTGCTGATCATTGTCCGTTGCTCAATGAGCACTGCATTAGTTAGCCTGCTGAGACTGCTTGTTCTGTCAGTGTTATTGAATAACTGGGGATGGTCTACCATTCAACCAGCATGACTTGTCTGCCCATTGCCTTACTCTGTTTTCTAACGTTTCCTTCTCTGGTTTGTTTCAGGTACGTGCCGTGCGCGGCTGGTCAGGTCCATTTGTTTGGCGCCTGTAAGGTAAGCTGACTGATAACAGTTCGCTCAGGGGATTCGTGCTGTCGATCGGGAGTAGATCCACATGTTGACATCACACAAGTGTCGGCCTAGTGTGCCGGCGCTAGGCCCTAGCGCTACTGCCGCACCACCTGGTGGACATTTGTCGAACCTGTGGTGTGGCGCGGGATCGCCAGTCCTCCGAGGTCCGTCAGCTCCCCCTGAGTTATCCGGGTGGCTTTCCACGCAGGTGTGCGGTGTTAGCCAGAGATAAAACATGAAAATCACAGCTCAACCCCAGGCCCGGCACCGCAGCAGCTCTGGGGAAACACCGCACCTAGCCCTGGCTGTGTCTATCGAGGTCGGATCAGCTCGGCAGGCTGCCCTCAGTTGTAGGCAAGCTTGTCCTCGACGGTACTTTGCCTTGTAAACAGTGTCTCTGTTGTAAGCTCATGGCTGTATTTTATCCGTCATCCGGCCAGCGACGGGCGCTCGGATCGTGATCAGTGCCTTGGACTGCTGGAATTCATTGCGGGCGGTTCGGCGGCCGGCCATCTACGAACGTGTCACACTGTCACACATCATGTCACTTCCCTGACTGGCGGTCACTCCAACAGACCATTGATGAAGACAGCTACAATAGCTCCAGTAGTTAGCGTATGGACACCTTATTGCATTGGGGTGACTGAGCGCCTGGATGGCTTGTCTCCATCCTTAATGCAATGTGACTTCGCAAGCAGCCAGAGGTAGCATCAGCCTACTAAAGCCTCGCATCCCACTATCCTGAAATGATCCAAATAAACTGACAGGGCATAACCCACAAAACAAACAACACAAAACAAGTATTTTGCCAAACACTTAAATGTTACCAGTGATTACGCTCATGAACGTGATCCTGATAAATAATATCTATATCATCCATGTATATGACATCCATGCTGCACGGTGTAGCTAGTATGTTGTGTCGGCTCATGTTCTCACTCTTATATCATAGCCGTTGCATTATAAGTTCCTATATTATACAACATTTGGTGACATTTTACATATCGAACGTTTTTGCCGATTTGTTTCTCTACGTCAACTGCCAAATTTGCTATTTGATACGTTGGCGGATGCGGGGACGGCTATGAAGGAGCAGTGACGTTTTCCGATGACTCAGTCACCGCGACTCCTCTCCCGGCCTGGAGGGATGGACGGATTCTGGTGATTTCTGCTGGCATTGGTACGTCAGCTGATGTGATGCGGCGCTAATGCCTCGGCCGCAGGTGGGACCGCAGAGGATCGCCGGGTCCGCCGCGGGCGGGGGGGGGGGGGGCTCGGTGGAGCGCGGTCACCACGGGGTGGGCCGGGTGGGGTTCTCTCCCCAATATCGGTGTCCAAAGGACATTAGTCTTCTCAGTATCCACCTCCGACCTTAAGTTTCCCGCTATCTCCGAGCCGAACTCCCTCCCAGTTTCCCTTAGTTTTTTTTTTCAGAGCTATCCCACCCCCTCTCTGAACCCGTCTCCCTCCCAGGCTCCGAGCCCGTGCAGTGCCTAACTGTAGTCTCCCTAAGCTTCCTAAGCTAGTCGCCGGCCTTCGGCGCCCGGTGCCGGGATGTAAATCCGCGGCAGCTTTGTCGGCTTTTATGGCCATGTTGCGGGAAATCTCATCCCCCGGTGGGCGGAGAGGCTGGGGGGGGGAGGAGGGGGAGGGGATGACGTCAGGTAGCTGGACTTCGACGGGTCCTTGAGGGCCCGGCGCTCCTGTCCAGTGTTTTCTTTTGATTTTGTGTGTCGTGTAAACACGGCCGTGGTCAGGTCAGCAAAGGCCAACATCGCTGGCCGTAACGGTTTGTGCGGGACGGGTATTTAGTCCCATCGAGACATTACCACAAAACAAACATTGGCACATTAAAAAGGTTTGTGAGTCGCTCCGTACAATCCACCATCATATCTGCGCCGGGTAACCTTTCGAGCACATCTTTAAGAAATAAGACATATACCTGTCCGTGGTAGCCGGATAGCCACATAGCGTCACAAATGACATCATTTTGGTGGATGTAACATTTGTTACTTTGATACTATTTATGTCAAAGTTATCCAAATCCAGTCGTTTCGGCTCTTTGGAACGTAGTCAGTCTACTTATTGACCAATCTTTGCAGCTCATTGAAGTCGCAGCTACATTACACCTTGTTACACCGGTTGGTCTGATGCAGCGCCTACTCGTAAGTCACGGTCCGTCAGTTCGTCCCGCGCCGTGCAAACAAAGCCTGTTGTCGGCCATGACCGCGGCGGCCCGTGTCACCTGTGTCCCCACTGATAGCTGAGCCGTGCCACGGCGGCCCGTGTCACCTGCGTCCCCTCTGGTGGCTGAGCCGTGTCGCCTGCGTCCCGTGTCACCTGCGTCCCCTCTGGTGGCTGAGCCGTACTGTGTCACCTGCGTCCCCTCTGGTGGCTGAGCCGTGCCGTGTCACCTGCGTCCCCTCTCGTGGCCGTACCGTGTCACCTGTGTCCCCTCTGGTGGCTGAGCCGTGCCGTGTCACCTGCGTCCCCTCTGGTGGCTGAGCCGTACCGCGGCGGCCCGTGTCACCTTTGTCCCCTCTGGTGGCTCAGCCGTACTGTCACCTGCGTGCCCTCTGGTGGCTGACCCGTACCGCATCGGCTTGTGCCCATCTGTGGGTCGTTCCGTGCCACGGTGGCGGGATGATGGTGTCCCAGCCCGTCGGTAGGGCATGGACACGTGATCAGAGGACTCCAGTCCTCCGGGAGGGGTGCCGGGAGCCCGCCGCCGCTACCGTTGGCTGGAGTGGTCATCCCTCCGTCCGGCGACGGGCTGGTCAGTCTGTCAGTGCAGTCCGGCCGTGAGTGTCTTGGCACTCGCCGCGCAGTGACGCGGGTCAAGGCTTCGGCTGCTGGGGCTCGGACAGGTGTTCTACGTAAGAAGCCTGTAGCCAGGTGTTGTACAAATGAAGTGCATGATAATATCTACTCGTATGTGTTTAGCTACAGATATTTGAGTTCTCAGATCAGCATTGTGAGCGGTCTTGCCATAATGCGGGCTGGTCAGTCTGTCAGTCCGCAGTTCTGATTACACCCGATGTCATTTATTGCGTACCGCGTTGCACCTCCTACTCTCACATACATTCATGAGCTCGTCACCGTAATGGAGACGGCGCGTTCCCGGTCGGCCCTCGCCGGGACAGGCCGCGGCACCCTGGTGCTCAGACACCGCTCATAAAGTCACTGATGTCACACAAAATCGGTATACAAACAGCTCAAATACTCCATACTTCATAGACAAATTGAAGGCACATTAGGAAGGCGCAGGTGACAGTGTTTGCTGTCCCCGTTGTGACAAAAAATATGGTCTACAGGTTTAACCAGGGATGCGGAGCCGGAGCCGGAGCCGGAGCCGGAGCCGCCGGAGCCGGCATATTTTGCCCGGAGCCGGAGCCGGAGCCGGAGCCGTGAAACAATATAGCCCGGAGCCGGAGCCGGAGCCGGAGCCGTCAAAAAAGGGGGCGACTCCGGCTCCTTTTCTTAAGAGGAAACATATATAACAGTAGAACAGGAAACAATTATTTACCTAATTCGGTTTGACAGTACAAGGCGTAAAACAATGTGGTGTTCAAAATAGCCTTGTTATACGAATACAGAAGCAGCGTGTACCGTGTACCAATCCCATCGCCTTTTTTCTTCCACCCGTATTTTATGGATCGCGTAGGGGTGTACTGAGTAGAAGCCGGAGCCGGAGCCACCGGAGCCGGAGCCGCCGGAGCCGGATCATTTTACTCGGAGCCGGAGCCGGAGCCGGAGCCGCCTTGACATTTCACCCGGAGCCGGAGCCGGAGCCGGAGCCGATTTTTTTCTCCGGAGCCGGAGCCGGAGCCGGAGCCGTCTGAAATTTCCACGGCTCCGCATCCCTGGGTTTAACTTCTCTGAGACTTGACCATGGCATCCTGTGCTGTGCTTGCCTTTTTCTGTAATCTTTTGTTAGCCAGGTGGATCGTTAAGGACTAGTCACTGCTTAGGGCACCTACACGACCGCACTCACAATTCACGACTCCTGTACACGTGAGCAAACACTGGTGCAAAATAAAATACCGCTCCCGACTGTCCGCAGCTGTGGTATGAGCTGTCTCAGGAGGCGCTCAGTCGTTCTTAGAACCCCGCGCCCTTCCGACCGCGTGCTGAACTCTTAACGACGGTAGAATCGGAGTCGGATCCCGAGTCGACTCGCGTCTTCCGTCCTCACTGTTCGGGGCTGCGTACCGTGCCATGCGCAGTGTGCGCGTCTGGCGACGCTTTGACCCGGTCGCTGCTGAAACGATCACGGTGACGGGGCGCCGCTCAGAGGACCACGGTGAAGGGCCGGCCGTCACCGAGCTGCGGCTCGTCGTCCGTGTGCACGGCCTCCTCCAGGTCGGAGAGCACCTCGTCGGGCACTTCGGCCACGATCTGTGTCTGCGGGCTCACGCGGCCCTCTGTCACCACCCCCAGCTCGGCGGCCACCTGAGCGCCCAGCTGCTCGAAAAACCGCCGGCTGCCGTCGGCGCCGGCCGCCCGCAGCGGCGTCAGCGTGCGCGCGCCGGTCCGCTCCGGCAACGCGCCGGCAGCGGCCGCCGCCGCCCCGGCGTCCGCGCCCGGCAGCTCGAGGCCGAGCGCGGCGCGCTGGGCGCCCAGCCGCTGGCCGGCGCCGGGCAGGTACGACCCGCCACCGCCGCCCGCCTTCTTGTCGGTCGGCAGGTATGAGCCGCTGCCCTTCTTATCGGTGGGCAGGTAGGCGCCGCGGGCCTTCTCCGTCTCGGCCGGGCTGTCGACCCTCTGCGGCAGGTAGGTCTGCTGCCGGCGGGCGCTCAGACTGCTGCCGCGCGTGGGCAGGTAACTGGGCCGCGCCGGGCGCCGCTCAGCCGTCCGGATGGACGCCACCGGACGCAGGCTGCGGCTGCCGTCCGACGGCGCCGAGATGTAGCTGGCGCCACTGTCGCCGCTAGAGGGCTCCGGCTCCGGTTCCGCGCTGGGTTCTGGCTCTGCAGAGGGCTCCGGCTCGGCGCTGGGCTCCGGCTCCGGCTCCGGCTCGGCGCTGGGTTCCGGCTCCGGTTCCGCGCTGGGTTCAGGCTCGGCACTGGGTTCTGGCTCAGGCTCGGCGCTGGGCTCAGGTTCCGGCTCTGCGCTAGGCTCAGGCTCCGGTTCCGCGCTGGGCTCCGGCTCTGCAGAGGGCTCTGGCTCGACGAGGAGCGCCCTGTTCTGAGCGGCGAGCGGGCCGGGCGCCGGACCCCAGGGCAGGAAGCCGTCGGGCGGCGGCAGCACCTGGATGGGCGGGGAGCCGCAGTTGGACAGCTCCGGGTCACCCGGACTGTCCACGAAGTCGGTCGGCCCGTGCGCCTCCAGCGGGTCCGAGACCTCGTCGAGCTGGTTGCGCTGCGGCCGGTCGAAGGCGTAGGTGACGATGGACGGCTGGTGACTGAGCGGGTCCGGCTCGGCCACCCGCTGCAGGCTGCGAGAGGCGCTCGCCGGCACCGGCCGCCAGTACATGAAGAAGTCGCTGTCGGGCCTGTCCGAGACAAAGTACGAGTCGGAGCCGCGCGCCGGCCGCGACGAGCGCCGCGACGCGCGCGCGCTGAGGTCGTCGACGGCGTTGGCGGCGTCCTCGGGCGGCCAGCCGGAGACGACGAAGCCCTCGGCGTCGACGAGCAGCAGCTCTCCGTCGAGCACGACGAGCTGGTGTCGGGCGGGCACGGGCGGCACGGCGGGCCGGCGCGGCGCCGCGACCACCGTCCGCTGGCGGGCCGTGCGGCTGCGCGCCGACAGTGGTCCGTCCAGGTGGTTGAGCACGCTGCCGTCGAGCCGCAGCAGGGCGGCCAGGATCGAGGTGCCGTGGTCGTCGGCCGAGACGGCGGCCAGCGCCGCCACCGCCACTGAAACAGACGGACAGACGAACGGACGGTCAGCGCGGGCCACACGGGTCGTCAGCCGGGAGCAGGCGCAGTTCCGGTAGCTGTAGATCGTCGTGGTGTCATTGTTGTCAGGGACCGGGTCTGGTTAAAAAAAGAAAATGGCATGGCGCCCAAGGCTGCGCCGGTGCAACCAAAAACTCCTTAACCGAGTACATATAAACAGGTCTTAAACCTCACATATGGAAGATTTATTGGTGCTAGAATACAGAAAACAACAAAGGGTCTTTTGCATGCGAAAATAAGGACATATGTTGATTGCGGCCAAGGGGGCCGCAAAGGGTAATGCTAATTGCAGTTATGTGTACGTGATACGTGACGCCCGCTCAACAAAAGGTAACAACATTGAAATTAGAAGACTTGTTGCTAGATAATGGCTCATCTGGTCGTCTTTTTTACAAAGCGGAGGTCAGCACCTAAGATTCTCAGCCGTGCCTTAAACGTCGTACCAAAGAAAGAGACCCATTCGCTAAGCGGGTCAATGCCGGAGCACACTTAAACGTGCAATTTGGAGACGGCAGCGCGGCCGTGCGTCGCCCCTCGCGCGGACAACGCGTCAGCCGAGCGGCGTTTCTTTCAGCGCCGTCCGGCGCCGGCGGCGCGGCGGCACTGCGAGAGCTGTTTGTGCGGCCCTAATTTGATGAGCGCGGCGACTTTTTCGGTAATGAACGGTGTCGCCTGCACGGGGGTCATGCAGCCACTCACGGCGGCCGCTGTTGCGCAAGCTGACCGGGGACGGGTCGGACGGTCTGCAGAGGCCGTCACCGCGCGCGGCCCGGTCAGCGAAGAGTGTCTGAGTGTCTCAGACCGTGGTGGCGCGGCCATTTCAACACCTGACCGGGCGCCACATGACCCTGAGACTGTCGGTACGGCGCCGTGTGGTATTTGCCTATAACTTACTGGGGAGGTGAACTGGACGGTACTGGACGTTACTAGGGAGGTGGACTGGACGGTACTGGACGGTACTGGGGAGGTGAATTGGACGACTGAGGGATGAACTTTAGTTTCTAATTTAACTGACAGGATGGGCTGTACTGACTGGATAAATTGTATTTTCACGATGCAGCTGCCTGGTTGAACTTCACGTCGTTTTCTCGTCTAGACTGATAGGGCAGAGCGAATTAAGCCGACTGGTAAAATGGATAGGCTACCGGGTCGGATGAGCGCACTGGTTTGACCGGCGCGGCGGGGGCGGCCGCGCAGATCGCCGATCGGTCGGCTTCCCTGAACAGAAGCCGAAAACCTCCCGGTATTCCCTCTAGAGGTCATCAGGACAGACCGGCCCGTGTAAACACGCTTGTGTGGGTGGATGGCCGGCATGCACTCACGTTATGCCCAGTTTGGAGAAAACAGGCGCGCTGAATTCGGATTAGTACACTGGCTGAATGGTTGTCGGTTTATCGACTGGGCTATTTGTTACACTCCCAGCCGACCTGTCCACCGCCAAGTGGTCTGGTCAGTGGCGAAATTAGCTTTCGCTCGTATGCATGTGGGGGTGCCTAGATCTCGGGCTCGCGAAGAATGGCGCTTCTTGGGACCATGTCAGTAGCAGCCGTATCACTATTCGTATCTCGTTACCATATGATCGGTCGTATTTATGCTGCTGCTCGCAGAATGATGCGCTCACGAAGCCGGCGGCTAGTCCGGTGTGTTTTTGGACATCGAGTGTTCCGAGCGACCCGATCGCTGCACTGACATTCTCTTCCCGCTGGGAGCCGCCGAGTGGTGTGTGCTTTCACCGGTCAGCGCGGCGGCCCGCGGCGAGTAGTTGTGCCGGTCATCGGTCACCGATCACTGGTCATCGGTCATGGGCCGCGCTGGTCATCGGTCATCGGTCACGGACCGCGCTGGTGACGGGACGCCCGGCGGGCCGAGAGGGGCGGTGTTTTTACCACTCGACGCGCGGTGACAGTCACAGGTGGTAAGGATCGATAGGGACAACTGCGGACGACGGGGACGTGACTGAGGGGGCTGTGGGAACAGTCCGGCGGGTCACCGGCTGGCGGGCGCGGGAAATGACCGAGTGGATGCCTCTCTCTCTCTCTCTCTCTCTCTCTCTCTCTCTCTCTCTCTCTCTCTCTCTCTCTCTCTCTCTCTCTCTCTCTCTCTCTCTCTCTCTCTCTCTCTCTCTCTCTCTCTCTCTCTCTCTCTCTCTCTCTCTCTCTCTCTCTCTCTCTCTCTCTCTCTCTCTCTCTCTCTCTCTCTCTCTCTCTCTCTCTCTCTCTCTCTCTCTCTCTCTCTCTCTCTCTCTCTCTCTCTCTCTCTCTCTCTCTCTCTCTCTCTCTCTCTCTCTCTCTCTCTCTCTCTCTCTCTCTCTCTCTCTCTCTCTCTCTCTCCTCTCTCTCTCTCTCTCTCTCTCTCTCTCTCTCTCTCTCTCTCTCTCTCTCTCTCTCTCTCTCTCTCTCTCTCTCTCTCTCTCTCTCTCTCTCTCTCTCTCTCTCTCTCTCTCTCTCTCTCTCTCTCTCTCTCTCTCTCTCTCTCTCTCTCTCTCTCTCTCTCTCTCTCTCTCTCTCTCTCTCTCTCTCTCTCTCTCTCTCTCTCTCTCTCTCTCTCTCTCTCTCTCTCTCTCTCTCTCTCTCTCTCTCTCTCTCTCTCTCTCTCTCTCTCTCTCTCTCTCTCTCTCTCTCTCTCTCTCTCTCTCTCTCTCTCTCTCTCTCTCTCTCTCTCTCTCTCTCTCTCTCTCTCTCTCTCTCTCTCTCTCTCTCTCTCTCTCTCTCTCTCTCTCTCTCTCTCCTGCAGGCTCTGCTGGATGTGGGTCGGGTCAGACCGGTCGTCACGAGCGGCCTGTCCCCCGTGGCTGGCCGGTCGCCGGTCAGGCGGCGGCACGGGATGGTCCGCCGCCCGCGGCAAACTCAGGAGGTGGCTGGCTGGCTCTCAGGTGCCCCGGGCGCCGCTCCCCGCCCGCCGCGCCGTAACCTTGACCCGGAGCCGGCCGTCACACTGACCCGGGGAGCCGGCCGTCACCCTGTCCGTCCGTACACACGGAGCTGACGGGACAGCCGTACGGGGACGGAGCCGGCCGTCACACGGTCTGTCCGTACACACGGAGCTGACGGGACAGCCGCACGGAGACCCGGAGCCTCGCTGTTTTTCTTGTCTATCAGCTCCGCAGTCCGGCGCTGGCCGGGGATCGGCGGAAGGACAGCTGCCAGACACAGTCCGTGAGCGATTGGAGGCTTCTTCGCGGCTCCACATTGACCGATGACGCGCCGGCGGCGCTTCTGGACTCGGTACAGCACGCCAACGGGCTGTTACGCAACACGCCGTTTTTACGCGCACATCTGGATCTCTGCCCTCCGGCGGTGGCCGACCCCTCCGGCTGGTGTTGGACGTTGATCTCCCTCTGGCCGGTTTCGGCCGTGGATCTCCTCCCTCGGGCCGGCGTCGGTCGAGCATTTCTCCTGCCAGTGTGAGCTGTGGATCACCCATCCGGTATGTGTGGGATAAGGATCACTGCACTGGTCACTGATCTGAGCTGACCGGCCGACCAGTCCCGGTAGCGGGCTGAGCGGGCAGACGGCGGACTGTGGCCGTACTCGTGGGAGGTGTGCGTGTCTTGGTGCACGCGCGCCCGAAGCTCATCACCGCCGTGCACGCGTGCACACACGAGCCCGGGGCTTATCACCGCCCACCGCCGCTCACACGCGCTCCGTGCGCATACGGCACCGTCGGGCGGCTCACCCGGTCAGATTAGATGAGGTCCGCCGCACCACCGATTGTATCTGCGAGGCTGCTCATCTAGGAGACCGGTGCCCCATCCTTCACCAATTGGCAGTTTGCACGGCGGTTGAAATGACTAGGCGTTATTCGTCATATCGTCGGACATTATGTCCTTGTAGGGGCTGAGCTACGTGACATACATTCCAGACTCAGGCGTATTTGACGTATCGCTTCCGGTTCAGTAAGCGCCAATGAGGCGATTTTATGCAGAAGGAATTATTATATGTTCGGTAATGTTCTGCGATTATCTCCGCTTGGATTTCTGTGCGGGACGTGCCACCGATGTCACCTCTGTGCTGTTGGTGGTGTCACCCGTCAGCGGTGGGATCACCGGTTTCACCTCTGTGCTATTGGCAGCGGCGGGGTCACCTCTGCCCGTGAAGGGCCTCCTCTACCTCCGCACACAGACCAGCCCCGGGGAGCTCTGTGGCCGACGTTCCCAGGGGCCCCGTGAAACCCACGGTACGGCCACGGCTCCCACGCGCCGCACTCCCGTGACGCAGACACGAGCTTCATTTAGTTATTTTGAATCCGGCAGCGGATGGGAACATGGACGGAAGTTGTTGGTTTTAATGAGTGTTCTGTATGCATTTGCGAACTGCGGATGACGATGCGTTTCTCTACCATGGGTACCTGGTAGGATTCCCTCGCCAGTGGTTACACTTTCCAGGCTGTCTTTTATTTGTTTCCCAGTGTGTCGCGGTGTTAAATTGTTTTTCCCAGCCATGCTGTTAGTAGTGTTATTCACTGTGCACTCCCCCCCCCCCTTACCGGTCAGTATGGTGGCCCCTGTATGTCTGGTCTGGTGCCATCCGCACGGGCCAGGTAGTGTTACTTAGGTGCGCCGGTCGGTATGGTGGCCTGATAGGCGTGGTGCCATCCGCACGGGCCAGTCAATCCTGACGGTCGACGCCATAGCACGGCTAATGAAGATAAATAAAGTACCTACTGCAGAAAGATGTGGTTTCAGAGCTTGGCACAACGCTTCAACTTTCGATTATTACATTTTTATAACTCGCACGCTTTTGCGTAATTTTTACATTTTGCTAAAGATGCGTAACAAAAGTTAGCGTGTTTATCGGTCAAAAAGTCGAACATTGTTTCTTCTGCCGCATGGGAAAATCAGCAGATCACTGTCCATTTCAGATAAGCACAATGTTTTGGCCGTTTAGGCGGATCGCAGTTTGTTATGTCACGCAGGCAGCCGGTCGCCCGCTCCCCGGCTGCCGTTGCGGTGATCTGTCGGGTTCCGATGGCCCTGACATTCCCGGGCCGCAGCGCGATTAACATGGACCGACGGGCGGGATGAGCTGACAATTCATTGTACCGTCTGCCGCCGCCATACCGCTGCGTTGTATCCGGCATTGGGCTGTGCGCGACGCCTGATAAGTCACGTTAATATTCAGAGGCAGTGAATGTGACCATGACAGCATCATTAGGGCCTACTTGTCAGATTTAAACATTTTTTCAGCGGTTACAAGGTAATGCTACTCGGCACTCACCCTTACAAAGATTAAGAGATTTATATGATTGAAACGTGTTCTTTTGTACTCAAGATCACAAATTTAGCATGTTTTATTTGCAATTTGATGTTAGTGAGTGTCTGTTAATCAGTTTTCTCCTGTGGGTCGTCTTTTTAGGTATGCTTTTATATAAAGTTTTTTTTTTTAAATAATCGGCACGCCGAATAACGTAAAAAACATTCTGTATTACAGCTAGTAGGTAGTAATTCTGCCAGCGCACAAGGTCAGCTTCAAATCAGCTTCGGTTTCAAAACAGGCTAATGCTGAAAAATATTGCCGAGGTCTCGGGCCATGACTCCTTTTCTCCATCGGACCTTGACGGAGACACTAATGCTTGCCTGTTTGCAGACTCGGGCAGGCTACCCAGAGCTGTGTGTTTCACAATGCCACACGTGGCGAAACCCTGACATGTGGCAGTCTCTGCTACCCTTGGGGACGCCGGGAAACGAGCGGTGGGGGGGGGGGGAGGAGAGGCACCTACGGCCCAGGACGGAATCCATTTGCACACATCAGTCTCAGACTTGTTCCAAGAGCCGTGACCTACAGACTTTGAACTTACACGAAACGTAAACGGTGTCAGGCTGGTTTGCGATGTATGATTCATCATCGTATGCTAATGAGGGCCGTCTCGTGGTCTTCCCTAGTCCGTATGATAAGCGTCCGCTGCTGGTGTCCGATTCCACTGGAAGATCCAGGGAGGGGGCATATGGGGCAAATGCCCTCTCCCGCGGGGCCCGAATTCAAAATTTAGTGGTTTTTCGAGGATAAAAAGAAAACAAAACAAAAAGCTTTTATAAGGAAAGGTTTGTTTTCAACGGCACATCAGTGCGTAAGGAATCGAAATCCTGGGAGGTTTTGGAAAGTGGAGAAACTTGTTTGGGGGTTTGCCCGGCAGCATCTACGACCGTCTTTCTGGATCCGCCACTGTCTGATTCAGACATCAATTCAGCATGGACAAACGTGACCTGCGATATTGTCGAGTGACAAGCTTTTTAATGATAAAATATGGGTTTTTACAATGCTGGGATAGTCAGCTTGATTTCACATTTCGAAAATTGCTATATAATTTTAAATTAAATCTAATGAAAAATTATCTGATATTTGGCGAAGACGCTGTCTCTGGGAACGTAGTCAGGAAGCCTGGAACTTCCGATTGATAGCTGTGTGATAATGATTAATTTTGTATCTGCATGTCTTCGGTTTTGCATGGTCAGACAAACGTCACTCTGGTATGAAGAGGCCAGGATGAGGACATACAGCACCTTCCCTCCACCGTGTGGTCGTCATGCAGAGGGCGGTGAGGGCTGGCTGGTCGAACCCGCACCCGCTCTCGGAGGGTCGGCGGGACCCTCGCCCTCCGTCGGGCAATTGGGACCAGACCCAGACCCGCCCTTCTGCTGGGTCTGGGTCTGTCAGACCCAGACCCACCTCCTGTTGGGTCTGGTTCGTCAGATCCCAGACCCGTACCCTCCGTGAGGTCAGTCATAGCCAAACCAGACCCTGGTCCCGCCCCGTCACTCACCGGCGGCGGTGATGAGGGAGCGCATCGCGCCGGAACAGCCGAGTCTGTCTGTGTCCTGCTGTCTCTCCACTGGGTGTAGCGCGCGGCCTGTGTCGGACGCTGCCGATCTGACGCTGCGGTCGGCTCGCTGGGACGCTGCCGGCTGGCTCGGCGGTCCGGGCGCCACTGACCGGCGCAGCTCCTCCTCCTCCGCGGCTCTGAGAGCGGCCCGCTCCCGCCGGCTGACCGCCCGCGCCGGGGCGCATCGGCAGCCGCAGCCGACAGCCGCTGCAGAAAGTAAAAGTGTGCCATCTCGGCGGGCGCCGGCCGCGGCGGCACGGAGTGGCTGCAGTGGACTGGGCGTGCTGCGCGGGTCAGGGGGTGATGAGGTCAGAGGCGGGGGAATCGACGGACAGAAATACAGTATCATCATCTCCGCTTTATCACTGACCCCAATATATTTCCTACGTCACACCCCGTCACCCATTCTGTACATCACTGACCTTTGCTGACCGGTGAGTGCCCGCCCCTCACACACCGTTCATCAATAACTCTGACCCATCACACACTCCGTCCATCGCTGGCCAGGGGTGCCCCATGTTGCTGTCCATGCTCGCTGTTATTGTTTTCAACCTCAATTAAACTGCAGGTGGCCGCTGTTGACAGCGTTTAGGCTCCTGCTGCGGTGCTTCTGATAGTCACATCATTTTGCTGCTGCTCTGCTCATCGCCACTTTCCTCGCCAGTAGCCAGTAATTACTGTTGTGCATGGCTGCTGCCGGAGCCGCTGACCCGTCCCATTGGACGTCTGTGAAAGTGTCCGTCTCTGCCTCCGGCTCGGTCAGAGAGGCTGACTGCTCTGCTGTTCTCGCCCGCACCTCTGTCCCCCACCCAGTGCTGCACCCTGGGGCTGCGGCGCGGGGCCGCGGTGTCCAGGGCCGCTGTGCCAGGTCACGTTACGCCACCGCCAACATCTGGTGGTATGTCCGGAGCGACCGCCGAGCTGACCGCTCAGAGTGGCCCCGGCTGGTGTGCGCTGTGTGAGCCGGTGCAGCTCTGAGGGCCCTGCTCCGCCCCTGTCTTTGTGATAACCCAGTCCGGTGACGCGGCCCGGCCAGGTGGTTCGATGGACGGCACAGGTGGCTGACCGGGACAGGTGGCCGGCCCGCGGCGCTCCCGGCCGGCCCGCGGGGCTCCCGGCCGGCCCGCGGGTGCTCCCGGCGGCCACCCGCGGGACAGCTCTCTGGGTGCCTGAGTGGGCACCGCGCGCCCGTCCGCACCGTAGCGTCTTTCACTGGACTGACCTCCGCACATGCTACTGTTAGCTGGTGTTTAATGGGCATTGGCTATTACATATGTCCACCTACAGCCTTTTCCATGTAACTGCCACTGGAGAATTATTAACCCGCGCCCAGATGGGGTCTGCCGAGCAACGCGGTCTGATGGGGGGGGGGCCATTTTGGCCCCCCCCTCAGATCTCGAGAACCACGCAACATAGCGACAAGCGGTAAACGGTGTTGGATAGCCCCAACAGGGAACTACCTTGTGACCCAATTTCATTGACCCCGGTCAAACCGATGACGTCACAGGTCAGGTCAAAGGTCGAATTTTCACCGTTTACAGGCATTTCAAGAAATGCGTTGTAAAATCGTGTAAAATGCATTTCATTGAAAATCATCGATGGGGAAATGTTCTTCAAACACATATTTTGCTATTTGAGGTCACTGATACCAGGTCAGGTCACAGAGGTCAGGTCACTGGGGGGTCACAATATGAAAGTGTCGTGTGATACATGTTTTATGGTCCATTTTACATGACAAATGCGATTATGTGGGTCAGACAGACTTTAGGGCCAGCTTAGGTCACGTTTTGGTCAAGGTCAGGTTAAGGTCAGGTCAAATTAGGTCAAATTTCAAAGTTGATATTGTTGCATAAAATGGGTATCGATTCGATGCAGCTCGTCACGGGGAGTTCAATGGTGGTCTCCGTTTTGCGCTACGAGGTCTAGAATTGCTAAAAATTGAGTTCAAAAATTTGACGTCATCAATTTTTAACAGTTTTTTCGCTATAACTTGGCCAAAAAAAGAGGTATCGATCTAAAATTTGGTATGTATATCGAAGAGTGCAGGGACTATCACATATATTCCGTTTTTTTCGAAATTCGAAAAATTTTTGGAATTTTTTTGAGTTTTTCTAAAAAAATCAATTTTTTTAATTTTTGGGGGTCAAAATCCAAAAATTTCAAAAATCCGAGATAGCAGTTTTGTAGCGCCGTCTTTTCTCTACACAACCACATAAAGAACTTTAAAATTGCTTGTGAACTGTAGAATTGGTGAGCGTTTCAAGATGTCATGTTTTTTGCTCATTTTTACTCGAACATGACCTCAGTTTGACCTCAATAACTCCTGACCTGAGGTGACCTGTGACTTGAAATTTTGTGTGAGGGTGTCAAATTGATGTCCGGTAAGGTACCCAAAATTTGGCGGCGCTGCGCGCCGCCGTTTTCTCGCTATTTAAGAAAAACCACAGGGGGGGGGGCCAAAATGGCCCCCCCCCATCAGGGCGCGGGTTAAGCGTGTCGCGAGCACCTCGGTCTGTGCAGCCTCTTTGTGGCCGTGCGACGGGATGGTGGTGAGCTGGCAGGTCAACCCGAGGGGCAGCACCGTGTCAGAATCGTTCCAGCAGCCTGCTAGGTCAGTGGTCTGCAGAGGTAGATACTGGTCAGCGGCGCCCGCAGGCGCCCCGCGCGGGCTGGGTCGGGGCCGGCCGGTCACAGGGGCGCCCGGGGCACTGGCCGGCTCCCCGCCGCACGAAACCGGCACGGAGGCACCCGGGGTCAGGGTGTGGCCCGAGGGTGTTTGGATGGCGCCCTCCGCATGGGACGGAGATAGGGGCCGGCGCCGACCTGACCGCGACCGGCTCCGACCCCGGCACGTCGATGTGTCTGCTCGGGCCGCGACGGGAGAGCCGTGCGATCAGTGACGCTGAAATGTAGGTCGATAGGACACTGCGGGAGATGTTTCAGATATATGATCGGTGCTGATCTCGTGTTGACGCCTCTCCATCCCAGCACGATCCGAGGTTCGAGCTATGGAGCCTGTGCGTCTGACGGTCCAGTGCCCCAGCCGTGGGGCGCGGGTCCAGCCGACCAGCCGTGACCTTACCGCCAGACCGGTCCCGCCATGTCTGTAAGGACCCCGGCTGTTCAATGTTCATACGATTACGTACAGTAATATCCATATTCGGCGGTGGACAGGCTGCCGGTCTTACATCGCTGGTCGTGCACGCTGATCTCGTGATGATCGAATCTCGTTATCTATCTGGTTGCGGTGAGTGACGTCCGTCGCTCATATTCACTCCCTTTTCCTCGTACAAACTGTAGTGCGGTGCCCTGACAGCGCTGATTTCCCGAGCTGTCGCTGGTGTGGGCCTCTGGAAGATCTCACTCTCAACCCCTTCATCCACCCGTCCCCGTCCCCGTCGATCTTCGCACGTGCCGGCCCCGACTCTGGCTGCTCCCCGTCACATAACTTCCGGCGGTGTGCATTGTTGTCGGTGAGGCCGGTCGTGGCGCACTGCCTATCAGAGGGGCTCGGCAGGCGCCGGTCAGGGTCACCGGGACATAGCCAGACCCGTACAACAGCCGTACGGACGGAGCGCGTACCGGCGCGGCGGCAGCCTCCCGGCGCCGAGTGACAGAACATGAAGTGGCCTTGTCGGCGGCCGAGTCGGCTGTCTCGGTGCGCCGATCGAGTCGTCTCCCTGTCGGATATCCGTGATAGGCCTGTCCGCTGTCAGTGTTCTGTCAGCGGGAGCGTGTGACTGGAGGCAGCGGACGGGACTGTGGCTGATAGGACCGTTTAGTGATGACAGAACTGCAGAGATGCGGCGCGATACCCGATATTGGTCCATTGGCACTTCTGCGCTAATAGCACGGCAGCCGTAACTTCTTAGAACTACAACCCTGATATTTGATACAAATCCGACGCTTACAGAAAAAGCTCGTATCAGAGCCTGCTTTAGTTCATTCCATGCCTCAGATATAAACTGCCAAAGTCGTTTTAGCTTGGAACTTTGATGGCAGTAGCTGCACCTTCCCAGCGAATATTGGCCTTATCTACCCGACCATCAATAGATCACCAAGAGACGTTTACGGGATCGATTGCTGCAACATTCTGGGGGCAAATTGCATACTTGATCAGAACTGTCGACGGCCAATGTGAGGCATCCCATTATTGCCGTCCCGTTAATGCGTATCTCTGTCTTAACGGGCCTTTCCCAGGCGGGGACCTTGGCCTTGGTCGTAGCTGTGGTGATAAAGGGTCGACAATGAGCTGGTAAGCCGCGGATTTGGGCGTGCATGTTCCGCCGGGTCTTCCCAACAATGTGGTTTGTGGATAAGAGACGAGTTAGAAAGGCGTGGGCGGGTACCCCGAAATTCGAACCAGCTCAGGAATGAAGAGTCTAAGATCTTATGCAATCTCGGTGCTGTGTCCGTGATTCCCACTTAACTTAATTTGGATGCCAGACACGTGTTCGGCTGTGCCCTTGAATGTCGTATATCAGTATATCTTGTGTTGACAGTGATAGTAGTTTTATGGTGCTCGTAACAATGAACATGCCAAGTCTCCATCCATATTTTTTAACTCGTCGCACTTTTCCAAACTAGATACTACTTACCTGCCTTGCATCAATTCTGAAATTATTATCCGCGTATGTGGGTCGTGGGACTGGGTCCATGGCTCCGTTTCTCCGCTCCGGTGTCCCGGGTGTTCCGGAACGGAGTCACTATCCGCGTTGTGAGTCTGGCTCCATGGATGGCGCTACTCCGGTATCTCGCAGAAATGGCGCACGTTGCGCAATGCGCACACCTGTTACAACACTTACCGGCTCCCAGAGTGAGTCAGCGTCGTGCGTGTCCGGCCGGTGCGGAGCCGACAGGACCCGTGTGGCTCTCCGCCGCTGTGGAGCCAGTGCGACCCGAGCGGCTCTGTGACCTCAGGTAGCCCCCGGTCTGTGCGTTGTATGTATTGTTCGCAGACGAAGAACCTGGGATCGGACTTCCGCCAGTTCACACAGACGTCCTGTGTGAACTGGACTGTGCGAACTGGTGTCCTGTTGTGTCCGCTACTCTACACATTGAGCTGCCTCACCGGACCACATGTGATCCGGCGTCACTGACTCCAATTCTAGCCCCTCGATGTTGTCGTTCTCACCATTGGCACCGGTCTGTGTGGAAGTTGCGCTACTCGGAGCTCGTTCTG